ACTGATGTACATGAGTTGCCACACGCACCAAGAAATCCTTCTCTATTAGGTGTTCAACACAATAACTCGCCATCCATTCATTGACTGTAATTTGATGCGATTTTTTGCATTAATTTACAATTCGTTGAATTTTTTTATCTCTTTATTGCCATCATAATCGAAATTGTAAATATTTGAATGATTTTCTGTTGTCAATTTCTTTAGTTTAGTAGTATATTGTAAGCCTAATAAATGTTGTTTTAAATTTTTTTTTAGAAACGGTAATGGCCTGATTTTAATGCCCTTATTTTCGTGTACATTTGCGGTTAGAAGTTGACCTTGAACTTTTAAAACTGATTTCGCGAGATTTTGTTTTCCTTATTATGACTTCGTGTAGTTTCCCGGTTTTTTGGGTGAGATGCTTGCTATGCCATATTATTTTTGCTACTTTGTAGATCTTTTTCAAAATATATTTGCTGTTTGTCTTATTTTTGCAAGAAAGACCTTTGTGTTTTTCCCTTATGGATATCTCTACCGTTTAAAATAAATAAGCTTGCTTTGCTATGGAATAGGTAATGATCTTTTTTTCTTTTAATAGGTTGAATGAATATTTAGGTTTTTCCCTTTAGAAACGTTTTGTACCCATAGTATTATCTTGACATTATTATATTTTTCCGCTTTATTATTTTTGTTGCTGATGACATCCTGAAACTTTTATGATTGCAGGCAATAACTTACGGGTTTTTAGCGTGTAACGTTTGCGGTTTAATTTTATTGGTATTATTGTAGAAATTGGCAAATTGGTAAATATGTGGGACTAAATCAATTGAAGTAATAAATTTTGATAACTTAACGTAATTAACGCCACTATTTTTTAATAAAATGCATTTAAGATCACATACTCAAGCATTTTCTCAAGGGTATAGAAAATCTATCTTTAACAGAGCGTTGCGGTTGTGATTCAAATGAGGAATTCTTATCTAGGGTATACAGAGAATACTTGGACAAACGAAATTTTCTTTAACAAGGCCTTGTAAAGCCTATATGTTTACTCTTACTCGGGAGCCACTAATACAGCGAAGGTCTGACTTGGGTGTTTTATGCGATTTCCAAGTCTCCCATTTTGAAAGGCTCTTCGACAACCACCCAAATAATCAGAAATGCGTTCTTACCATGGCGGATGAAGTTAAGTCGTTTAACGTCGACTACACTGGCCAATATCGAGGTTCGGACCATTTTACTTTATTTGTTCAGAGATGTTTTCCCTAAGAACATTATCACATAATGTACCTACCTGCAATGTCTATAAAAAAAATGCCAAAATACCAAGCATTTGAAACTTTATTCATATTTTATACTATTCTATTTTGCAATCTATAAGCTTATTGTTTTTGAGCAGCCAAACTTTATTGCTCTAAACTTATTCGTATGGTTTAACGCAAATAATTCAGCTCAAGTAATTACAGCAGGTTTTGGTTACAAAACATGAGTGAAATGTGATTACTTTAGCTTATGATCCTTCGTCTTCATTTTTTGTTATGAAACCTTCGATGGTCAAAAAATAGTATGTATTTTGAATATGCGTCCTACTTAAATTTACGTTTGTCGTTGGCTTGACTAATTAGAAGTTTATTCAATCTTTAGGCTGACGGTAACTTGAATTACGTTGGCCATAACAGTTTTATGTTAGGCTGCTTTTTATTTTAAATCAAAAGCAAATTGCCAGTTTTTGGGAAAATTTTAAAACTATTCAAAAATATGTTTGTTTCATAAGTTTATCCTCACAAAATCAATGTTTCTTTTAATGCTAGTAATCAGTAATTGCAAATACCCTAAATCGTATCATAACTAATCCACGACACTTACCGCGCCTAAGTTCGCCTTTTTTACTAGTATTTTACTACAGGTGCCTCAAAGCTGGTTGTCTTACCCACCACCACTGAGCAGATTGTGGATGTGATTAAACTTTGTGACCTATGGAAACTCGGAATAGTGCCACAGGGGGGCAATACGAGTCTAACGGGCAACAGCACACCAACATTTGATGAAGTCGTTATTTCAACTCGTCGAATGAATAAGATTATCAGTATTGATGCAGACACAGGTATGTTTTGTTATTATTTTCACTGTACAACTATACTTTTGATCCAAAAAATTTTCAAAGTGCAGTTTGATTGTTTTAACCCCCACTAAGAATTTTTTTCAATTACCACTCAAAAAAGTTTCTATGCAGGCACAGTTGTGTGCGAACCTGGTGTTATTCCTGCTAATCTGGAACAGACACTTGAGAGTGCTTCTTACGATCTCACACTGCCACTTGATATTGGCTCATGGGATATCTCTTGCATTGGAGGAAATGTTGCAACAAATGCTCGGGGTTATCGAACACTCCAATATCCCACCCTTCGTCACTCAATCGTTGGACTGGAAGCGGTAAGAATGCGTATCGCAAATGAGGCTTTTACAGGTGGTGGCTATAAACTACAGTAATTTCTTTATTGTATCACACAAGACTTAATTTAATCATTTTAATGAGAACTGCATTCTAAATTTTCTTAAATTAACCCCAAAATCATAGAAAACTTCATCAACAGATTCATTGGATCCCATTTAATGTTTTACACCACTGTTCAAATTAAGTGTTTTAGATAAAATGCAGATCAATTTGTGAGTACGACGATGCTGACTCCCAAGCACAATTTACGATATTTTAGGCACCAGTTATTCTTTAGAATTACATGCTATAAAGATAACATTTTTGAGTTTAATTTTAACTTTAACTAGTTGTTTAGGCACTTGATTAAGCTCATATTTTCACACTTGCATGAAATCACTGGACTGTCCTTGAAAAATCAAACATTTATATTAAAAACGGTTCAATCATTTTCCAAAATAATTTCTGATCATTTTCAGAAGGTGTCTTCGCTAAGAAGCATATTTTAACAAACGAGGTACTGAGGTTTATTAACACTTCGTAGTCCATTACCGTCAATCAAGTGCCTGTACCATTGTGGCGGATGAGTATTATTGGCACAGTGTTATTTTTCCGATTTCTACTTACCAGGTACTTCCAAATGGCGATGTCTTAAGCCTAATGGAGGGATCTCAAGCGGACCAGTTTGGGATGGATCTGAAGCAGTGTTTAATAGGTTCGGAGGGAATGTTTGGGATCATTACCAAAGTCGCTATCCGTTGCCCATCAAGGCCGAAATTTACTAATGTTGGATTATTAGGTAGGCAGAAAAGCATGTCTATAGTGTATGACACTGCCCTTGAATTCAGAAGTAAAGTATTTATTCAAATGCTTAGTTTCAGCACCCAAAATAAGCTTGGTTCCAATATTTAGGTCCTGTTATCTTTAGAATTGATGAAAAAGCCAAGTTAGGTCTACGTGGGACATATTCTTCTAGGCACCTAATATTTGGCAAGCAGTTCCCTGCATATATGCCTTTTGGTTGGGACATTGACCTTAAAGACCTAAACTTCGATTATAATTTACACTATAAATCTTCTATAAGTCCGTTTGAAGCTCTTAGTTTCAAGAAGACATTTGTCCCTGGTTCTCCTTGTGTTGGACTTTGTCAAAATACCATTTACTTGTACTGATAATCGTAAGCATTTGAAGGGGGTTAAATTACCTACACGACAAGTCTTATAACTCGTTTTGCTGCACTATCATAGGATGGGATTTTTATTACTTATCTCAAAAGATGAACACAGTTAATGTTTCTGTAGAACATGAAATACTGTCCTACAGGCTGTTCGATTTCAAGATATCTTATGCAGGTCTTGTATCGAAACTAATTTTAAGTAGAACTGGAAAATTAGTCGATACATTGTCAACGCAAAACTAGAAAATTGAGACCTGCTAAAACAAAATCCATCGCTGATCCTTCTACATGTGGTAAAGTGTTCGGTTTTGATCTTACTGCAGCTATTCCTTATATTTAACCAGAATTACATTTTAAAAAAATCATCTAATAGCCACGACTACGCTTATCTTTCAGGCATGTTCCATCCGGTTGGAATTTGACTTATTACACACTTTAAAAATTGTCAATTTAGTCCTGGTTTAGGGTTAGTTAGGTACAAATGTAATCATGTGAAAAATGTCTCATTTATCAAAGACACGAGTTTTGTGTTTTACCTAGGGTCAAATTAAAGAAATTACTAATGGTAAGTAATCACTCGTAGATTGTCGATATAATGGCCGTCTTTAAAATGCAGAGGCGTAAAATGGGGAACTTGTCTTAGAGAGCTTGAAGCGTTCATCCCGTTGGTTTGTGGGCGTGGCACAGTTTTTTGATGTTCCAGTCCCAAAGTCTCCTTCAACACTTATTTTCCCTTTTGATGATGACTATTGGAATAACATTTTGCTTTACTCATTGACTAACAAACTGGCCTATGGCTTATTTAATTAGCCTGAATCCCTTATGCAAAAAAATTTTAGAAGTTACAGACCATATTTGCTTAATTAATTTTGTCTGGTTTGATATTATCAGTTCTTCGGTAATAAGGTGGTCAAACACAGAATGGAACCTTGAATATCTGAAATATTTGAACAAGACAAAACAACTTCTGGTGTTTGCTTACCTCGTACACTGATATTTTCTGCTAATGCTCAATATGACTCAATGCAATTTTTGAACATTGACATTTTAACTTTTAGAGTGGCTTCTCACTAACAAGTTGAGGTATTAAAGTGAGCATCATCATAAGACCACAGTGTGTGTTCTCTAATTTTCCTTCAAGTAGGAGTGCAAACATGGCTCTGATGACAATAGTTTCAGAAGAAGTGAGAGTTTGTAGCACTTAGAATCGCATAAAAATAACGTTAAATTGCTGACGATTTTACAAGAATTTGATTATGATAAAAAGTGTATGGCAGTATTCTTAATCTTGCTCCTATTCTGTCAGAGTATGTCCCAACTCTTGAGAACGCATTACCGCAGATAAGCGTGGCTGATAATATCCCAAGTATCGTGTTTTAAACTTTCTCGACGCTGCATATGTACAGAAATTTTGGTAGATTTGTGTCTCAATCCTGCCTCTTTAGTCTTAGTTTTTGACTAATTTGATAGTCATAGCAGTTTTCAACTTAGGTTGACCCACGACCATCGACTTGGGAATCTTTGAACAGCATGGCTATTCCAAGTCAGGCTGACTAAGTCGAATAACTAAGTACTAATTCTTACAATGGATAACCCTTCGTGTTGTTCTAAATTCCCTTTTAAAGCAAAGTCTGAACATACAAAAACAATTCAAAAATAGAAAATTGCGCGTTGTTTTGGCAATTCCCAATGACTTACTTTTAATGTTAGTTTTTCAGGATTTATGAATGTCCTATGACATTAGTGTCTTTACTGGGGCTATGATTAATCCGCCAAATACCTATAAATAAGATGATAGTAATGACCACATGCGTCGCAATGGATTTTCACCTCTTCAACATCAATTTTGTGTAGAACACAGCAGCTAGGATTTATACAAGGTTTTTATTCCTAGTCGAGGCAGTCACAACTTCAAATTTCATCTTACGAACCTTCTAAAAAATGCTTGGTGGTTCATACTGGCACTCTGTCAAAATTGTCAATAATATATTGAAGGAATTCAAGGACAGAATTTAATAATGGGTTGGCATTACTTGAATGGTGTATTTGGCCATTTAAGCTGGGGTACACGCAATAAGTGATTGGCATAAGCATTTTGGAAGTCGGCTGCTGTGAATTAGTTGCAAACCTGACGACAATCAGTTTAGGCCAATTCAAAACAAATTTAAGTTGTATAAGTACAAATGGTCAAAATCCACTGGTAAGGGAGTCGCTGACATTTCGGTAGCTGCCGATCACATACAAGAGATAAACAGGTTGTATTTGATAATTGTGAAACTGTGCGCAAATAACGACTGAGCTCATTGAAGGTCATATAAGGCTTTGTCTTGATGTCCACAGTGTTATAAATTTATCAATGCTTGGGAAAGTATTTACACTTATGTAATCTACGTAAGATTTTCGATAATTCGCTTATCTTACTTATGTGTTTTAACTAGTTCTAAATGGGGATTTTGTGGCCGGTTGCAAAAAGAAATCGCTAATGAACAATATCATATTTCATAAAATCATTTATTAAAAATAAAAAAACCTGAGGGATCAATATCAATTGTCACACAACTTTTATTAATTTTATAAGAACATTCTAACTGTGGTGGGAGAATTTAATTTATTACGATATTTTTATTACAAAAGCCTTCCTTTCCCCACTGTATAAGTATGAAATTTTGCTATAATGGCATAAAAATAAATTTACTCATTTGGTTAGCGTTTAAGCCAAATACGAGACATTGTTAACCGGTTAAATCAGGCCGAGCATTCTGCTTTGTTCCGAACTTGAGAGGTACTCAAGTCCTCTATTTCCCTGCACACTCAATGCAAATTTTTCTTCACCTTTTGCAAATTTAGTTTGCGATGACTATGATTCAGTGATCAAAGTACTACGATATGCGCGCAAGGAGTTTGCAGAAACGCTTTCGGCATTCGAGTATATGGGTAAGTTTTAAAACCATGGATTGGAAACCATCGGAGCAGTAAATGGAAAATTATATCCTGAGTATGAATGAGTTTTAGTAGCGCGACATTGTTGATCGATCTAAAACTAGTTATTTATATTAATTTTTTCTAAAATCGGCGTAACCCAACTCACCTCCCACCTAGCTTAGGGCCTAAAGCATGAAGTAATGAATGAAACCTTAAATGAAACTGGTATAAACAATTATACGAAATTTCGCTGTTGAAGACGTGCAGAGAAGCAAGACTGATGTAAAACAGCGGTATCTTTCGGGATTTCCATGGCGAGGGAAATTTAAAATAGGCTCTTTAATTCGAGTTAAGGAGTTTAGCCTTCGAAGTTAAGATCGAGTATTTATCAAATAATGCTCTTACGAATCGGACACACATATTTAGCATGATATTTTGTTAAATAATATAATATTTCATGGATAGAAATGGAGATATTTAATGGGGCAATTTAACATCTATGCTATTTTTGTACGAACCAAAGAAAATGATAACCAGGAAAGTTTGTGAGAAGAAACGTCTAGTAAATACAATTGGTAGCTGAGCGAGAAAAGTACGTTCAATGACTTTTCACAATCCTGTCAATAGAAATATTGTTTCTTTGACACAAAAATGAAAAAAAACAGTATATTATCTTTAAACTTTGTGATCAATATTAAAAATGGTGTCCTCAAATTAGCAAAGCGTTTCTACGCTCCTGAAAATGCACTACATGCTCAACTACACAACCATAGGTGTTGTGCAGTTATACATAGATTGGGTAATATGGGGATCGTATGTGGGTATTGAGTGGGTCATTCCAATTAATCCAGCTGGCATAATCTGCGAAAATCGCAAATCCCCATTGCGTCTACTCGTATGGAAACGAAAACAATGAAGCATAGTTTAAAAATGTAAACAGTTGTAAATAACCGCTCCGACCCTCTCACTGGCCCCCAACCACATCCTAGCCAATGGATTCATTTTATTTAATTTGTGCAGATCAGGGAGCACTTGGTGTTGCAGAACGGGAGCTATATATGAAGTTACCAATTCCTTTTAATCATTATGGGACGGTCCGGAGAAAAAAATTTCATGCCATTTTCATGGAAGTATCATCATCAGCATCAAATAAACAATCCTCAAACGTGATGACTAGCTTTATCGATAAGGTTCGCAATCTCGGACTTTGCTGTTACGGGATGTCCTCGCAGGACAAACAGGAGTCAGAAGTAAGCGCATTTGATATTCACCACATTTCAATATTCAAGGGCCCAATGATAGATTAGCGATCAAGCCAGAGTAAATTTAGCTGCCCTGATTGAAAAACCTGCTAATAACGGAATCGTTCGAGTATCTAATTGATATTTTTAAACCTTCTATAAGGATGCGATATCTCATCATACATTGTTATTTATAGATTGGATTGTTTTTTGGGCATATTACGTGCATTAGAATACTACGTGAGGTCAGTCTGTCGAAAGATCAAACACAACTGCAAGTCTAACTTGCGCTTCACTACCTAACATATGTCACTTCTCTGTTAACTAACACGCTACAATACAACTAACGCACCTACGATCGACGTCCACCATTCAAATGGAGGGCAAAACTCGAAGACATTGAGTCCTGGTTTTTGTACAATAATTCCGGCTAAGTTTTATTTGGACATTTTGTTCTCGAAAAGCAAATTAACATAAGAATAGGTTGGTAGTATATTTACCTTAGTTTGCAGTTCAACCTAAGGCCTGTGTTCTGGGCACGGCTGCACTTTGAAAAACAACTTTTTTCATCTGTTTAATAGAAGCTGTGGGGACCAAGAAGATCCGTTATAACCGCATGCAAGGCAACAGGAACCGTCTTCAAATTCGACCTCACAATCACTCCAGAACAGCTGCCAGAACTTGTGCATTTGCTTGAATCAGTGTCCGCTAGTGACCGGACACTGGCGTCAGGGGACGGGAAAGTCCAGAGGGTCCCCGATGGACCTGCAAACGCAGCGCGCATTAAAGACCTATTCGTCTTTGGACAATTGCCTACGGGTATGAGGGCACTTGGGCATCCAGTCTCGAAAAACGTGCGAGTGTAAATGCCACAGTAAAGTAGTCGATTCCTCTCAATGGTAATCCAAAAGCTTCTGAAAATCCTCTTTAGAACACCACCACTCCCGATGCTGATAAATAATCGTTTCACATTAATCATTTAAACTTATTAACGCTTTTAATCGGACAATAAATTCAACAAGCATTTTTACCACTTTCCCACGTTTGCACCCTCCTGCAAGTTCACGTCTGGCCGTGAACGCTAATCCGGTGGTAAATTTGTGCTGTATACAAAAATTCCCCTTCAGTAAAATTGCAATCTACTTATTTAAGAAAGGAGCAAACTTTGTTAAGTTGTTTTCTTCCCATGGCTTACAGGTGTTACAGCGGTGACTCCGTGATTATAACTAAATCACATTCCGTGTAGATTATTTCATTCAATCAGGCGAATGACAGTGCACTTAAGCAGACAAACTCCTAGGGAAGCGCAAAAAATCTCGAAAAGGACTTATGCTGAACATAAACAGAGCCGACAGCCATTAATGCGGTTATAGGAGCTTGTTGGCCTAATGGCCACAAGAGAGAACGAAATTCAGTAAATTAAGGCCTCTTGACACTAAATGTACGGTTTACTCCTTTTTCAGGAAGCATCCACGTCGTAGCCACCGTCGAACCCGGAACTTGCGACTTGTAAGCATGACCATAACCTTATCCAAAGTCCTTCGATATTTAAATCTCAACAACTCAGCCGCCTTGTATTCTAATAGTGCGAAACCCAAAGCAGGTTTTAGGCCAGAACTTTCGAAAGTGAAAAGTGTTTTGTTGTACTATTTAGGGCCCGAGCATCTCTTTTGGGAGTGCACCAAACGCCAGCCTGTGTGACGAGGCTCAAAATGGCTCTCTACAATTGGCTGAGAATGAGAAAAACATCCCCATTCAGTCGCCTGCTCTCTTTATCGAAGATCAGTGATGAACAAATTACGCAGTGGACTCACCAGCCAGACTGGGATGAGCATAGATTCCAGGGATTCCCGAGCCGTGATCTTCAGTTGTCTATCAAAAAGGCATGGGACCCCAAGGGTATCATGAATCCCTACAAGAGCTGGAGCTTCATTGACACGTAAAAGTTCAACTGTCCTCTCCCCATAGTGACTACATAATGTAACTTACCGTAAATCAGGTGTTGTAGGGTAATTGAGGACAATGTCCTCCAAAATTTCGATTTCGAAAAGACGAACATCACTTTGACTTTCGTAGAAATAGTGGGCGAACGATATGTCTGTTGTCAGTCTACCTTTGCTTTATGGATGCCTTTACCACGCCAATGCATGTTAACAGTCCCACACAGCACGCGAATAAATTAATATTTTTATTTTACCTATAGACTGAAAAGCCATTTATTTGGGAGAAGCCAATAAAGAGTTACAGTGTCATAGGCTTGGTTACTTTGCATTCTAAGTAGCACAAATTTAAAAAAAAACGAGCTCACTCACAAATTCAACGATTGCTAGACAACGGGATATTTTACCGCATTTTGGATAACAGCGAAAGCACCAACTTAAAGAAAAACACACTCTTATGGGAAAATTTTGTGGTATACGGAAGAGAAAAAGTACAGGGCCTGTCAAGTTACACAGGCTTGTAATCCAGTTTTGTTTCCAGCTTTTTTGCATCAGCCAGCTTTCGAACTGCTTTCATAAAGTCCTCCTCGATAGTGTAGTCGCGCTCAGCGCGGATTGCGTACATGCCTTTTAATAGTAAAAAAAACGGTAACGTCGTATGCAGAGAACGGAAAAGAGTAAATAAAAGATTCTAACCTGCTTCAGTACAAACATTTCTTAAATCGGCTCCGTTGAATCCATCGGAAAGCTTGACGATTGCTTCCCAGTCTGCATGAGATATAACGGTAATTCATGGAAGATAAGTAAAAAAAAAAGAAAGTGTCAATTACCTATTTCACCATGCTTAGCGATCGGGGCAGCGTGGATTTTCAAAACATCCATTCGAGCCTGTTCATTAGGAAGGGGAATTTCTAAAAGAGACGTTAAGCGCTAATATTTGCACCGGATACTATAACCAAATAAATGAAACCTACTATACTAAAATGCGCTATCTCCGTGGAGCAATATTCGACCCTGGGGGTCCCAGCTAAAGGTAGTTTTTACATAAACATAAGTTGCGTGTAGAAGTCGACATATTCCACCAATGATTTTGATAGTGACAGAACAACCAAACACAAGAACCCCAGAATGTGTTTAATAGTACCATTATCGCTGAAGTGGCAAGCAAATGCAGATTTTCACTACGAAAACAATTAAGTTCCACGATGATCGTTACTTCAATAAAACACTCATCAAGTCTCATTAAGGAAGCATGCAACTACTGGAACACAGCATACCTATTTTCCTATCAAGTCGACCTGGACGAAGAAGAGCGGGATCCAATGTGTCTGGGCGGTTAGTAGCCATAATCATTTTCACCTTTCAGTGCAATTCAAATTAACCATTATTGAAACACAGTAAAACGACGACCATAAAACACCTGCTAACGAAATGGCCTACCTGGCCAAGGGCATCAAAACCATCCATTTGGTTAAGGAGTTCCATGAGAGTACGCTGAATTTCTCTATCAGCACTAGTGCCCTCCGTAAAACGACGACCACCAATTGCGTCAATCTCGTCCATGAAAATGATACACGGTTGGTGATCTCGAGCGTAGCTAAACATCTCACGGATAAGACGAGCAGACTCCCCAATATACTTATCAACAATGCCACTGGATACGACTTTAAGAAAATTGGCGTCCAGCTGTGAAGCGACGGCACGTGCAAGGAGCGTTTTTCCAGTACCTGGAGGTCCGTATAAGAGACAGCCCTTTGGCGGAGTGATTCCGACGCGCTGGAAGAGTTCGGGGTTTAGCAAAGGCAGTTCAATGACCTCACGGAGCTCACGAATTTGCTCAGCAAGACCACCAACAGAGGCGTAAGAAACGGAACCTGGATCTTCGACAGACATATTGTAAACGAGAGGGTCAACTTCACGAGGCAATTGCCGCATTATGGTAAGTGTTGTCATGTCAAGCGCAACACGGGTGCCGGCCTTCAACTTATTCTTTGGCAGATTCCGTCGACAACCAACCACGTAACGAGGACCATTGCTCGCCTTTACGATGACTTAAAACATAAAAAATAGTGGTGTTTTTTGTGATAGCTGGTCATTAGCTTGGAATTGTGAAAACCAATTCAAAGTACATCAATAAATTTAAACACGCGACTCGATAGAAAGACGGCAATGAAGAGGCTAGAGAATTATAGAGCGCTAGTTTGAGTGAAAAGCTACCACTTCCACAAATAACTCACAATGATCCTCAGTAAGCTGCTTCAGAACGTCTCCCACCACTTGACCGACACTTTGCAGAGCCTTGAGATCGTTCTCAGCTTTTTCGTATTCTTTATCTACGGCTTTCGATTTTTCGCGGGCTAGAGGGCATAAAGAGATGGCGTTAAATAGACAATTCTGTATATAGCGAAAGACGAAGAATCAAATTTATTTCTATAAATTTGGTGAGCCCAGTGTGAGTACATAACCATTCCGTCTTATGGGATAAAAGGGTAAGGATCTAAAATGAGCTTAAGTTGACATAAAAACTTCTTGAGTCCTGATAAAGGTTGAACTTAACAAGTTTAGCAAGACTCGATTCAGGTTAAAATGTTAAAATCAATCCAAACCACGCTCTTACATGTTTACGAGAAAAGTGCTTAGTCAACAAGGTGAAAACGATGACTAAGCATAGGATTTAAGATATACAATCTCTGACCGTTTGGGATACCACAAGCACGTTCATAAGGGAAAACAATTTAGGCAACACTTTAAAATGTTTACGCCACAAAACGTAGCAAAGCATACGAAATCAGCGATCGTGAATTTAATGGTGTCATACGTAAGCCAAGCTGATGCAAATCAACACAATTGCTTACCTTCTTTCAACCTGGCCTCAATTTCCCTGTGCTCCATTAACTTACGCCGATAATCAGCGAGCGCCCGTTCCCTCGACTGATCTACAGTGGCTTGATCGACTGCCATTGTCATCGCGCCAACGAAAAGTGAACAAGGAGGCTAGGACTGCGTAGCATAAAAAAAGGGCTGAGCCTATACAGATCTTCGATAAAGGTAGGGTATCTCATTAAAAGTTACTCCAAAAGCAAAAAAATTATAATTCAAGTTTACTGGTTTTACTGTCACGTAAAAACCATTCCTAAATCAAATTAAATTAAAGTTACTACGCACCATTTTCGTCAAATATCGCACATCGCACATTCAAGAATATTTTATCTAAAAGAACAGTAAGGCATTTTTATGATTATTCCATTACAATACGCATTAATATTTCATTAAAAAACTAAACACACACCGAAATTGATAATGTCCAGTAAATTTGCCCGAGGATTCAGCGATATTTTTGAACTGAACTGATCCAAATGTGTTGTAACACTTCATATAGGGTTTTGTTGCAAGAAAAATGACAATGAGTAATTCCAATTCACTTACACATATGACTTGCACGTTGCACATTTGCATGACTTTATTTAGTTGTCGGTGAGTTATAGTAAAAATTATGACTCCGTTTTTTATTTAAACGTGTTGCTTTGTAATTATTGGGATTTTTGACAGCAGTTTAGGGTGAATAGCAGAAACCTTTGTACTGAAGTTAATTTTATTGCCTTTGTGTAATGCTGGATCAAGAAATAGACAGCTTACAACGTTTTGAATCCGTATGTGCTTATAGACTTAGTAATATTACCATTTGTAGCACGTCTGAATTGTCTAATTTTATGAGGGGGGTAAATGATGTAACTGACAGTTTATAATAGAATAACACAGGACAGAATCTTTGGGCCGTCACATTTTAACAAGTTCCGTTCTTCTGGCTACGTGTCAGTTATAACGGTGGATCGACATATCTACGTGCAAGCAACAATATAACTTCGTTAATTTTTTCCAACTGAGAATACCCGAATCTTTCTTTGGACACCCCAAATATAACAGATCAAGCTTCATCGATATCCAGTAAGGAAGAAACCTACATCAAGATCAGTAAAATCGCTTACTCAATATTGACCGCGACACTCGAAGCATATTGATTCTCATCTATCTTTATCTTTGGTTGGCTGCTGCTCGTCAACTTTGGCTCTGAAGACGACAGAAAAACAGATTAGGCTTCATTTACCAACAATAGACAAAATCGTCTGCCAGGTAATGTCCACAACAGCCGATTTTTCGCCTTTGCTGCCCTATTTGGGAATCCTCATTTCCATTCCTTTTTGGCTGCTTATTTATGTCGAAGCCAAATTTAAACGATCAAAGACAAACGATTGGCTAAGATCAAAAATATCCAACATGTCAACCCTCTTACCTTGTTCGACACGGTGTAGAATTCCCGACCTCTAGTATAAAGAAAACCAGTGCAACAAAGCAGGCATTTCTGATTAATCACAAACCAGAACTACTCATCATGCACCTCCCATCCGTGTCCACAACGCTGGCTACGCCGCTCACTATATACTGCTCCTCATTCATGTCTTTTTCTGGTTGGCTGCCTATCTTCCTCGCTTGCCATTGGAACGCCAAGAGACAGACGATTATCTGAGGCCAGCATGGTCCAGTATGTCTGCTCTCTGAAACCTTCGCCCCACTAGTGCAACAGAGCGGGCTTTATTGACCGATCAGACACCAGAACCAAGTTTCAGGCCCCGTCCATCCGAGTCCACCACACCGACTATGACGCTTATGGTATACTGCTACTCATTCGTGTTTTTTTCTTGTTGGCTGCGTATCTTCCTCTCATGCCGTTGGAACGTAGACTGACAGAGGATTGGCTGAAGCCAGTGTGGTTTAATATGTCTGCGCCTCTAAAGAATCTGTTGTAGAATACCCGAGCCCTAATAGGAAAAAAGAGCGGTACAACAGAACAGGCTTTATTGACCAATCAGAAGCCAGTGCCACGCGACAGGCGCCTTTTAC